TAGGAAAGAAGCTACATACCGAGTCAAGCTATTCGGTAGCCATTCTGCTAGGAGCGGCGGGGTGGCCGATTGGCTCCGCGCTGCTGCTGGTTGCACATGATGCATGGGTGGTCCTTGCCACACTGGCTGCAGGTGTGGGAGAAGCGGCACGACGACGAAGAACAGCGACCTCCATTGAAGTTGCGGCAGATTTCTTGGCTGTCGCTGGTATGGTTGCGACCACTGGAGGTAAATGCTGCCGGCTTGGGGACGAAAAGGACACAAGCCGCCCCTGGATGGGCCGTCTTACATTGAGCGCATTTTGGGTGTGCATGGCCTGTAACAGCTATCTGCCATAGGTTCACGTCGATGGTGTCCAACCTCTTCGTGCCTGGTTACTGGGCCACGAGCAGCCGCAGCTGGCGGTCGTACTCTAGCCACGCGCTTGGGAAGAACTGGCGGTTAGCAGTCAGGATCAACTGCTGGTACGCAATCAGTTCAGCAGTTCAGCAGTGCGGTGTAGGGCAGCAGCCGTGATAACAGACATGTATGTGGTCCATGCCTCGAGCCGGGTAGTTACATGTATAATTATCGTGAACCTTGCGACGCACCTGCTTCGCGTACGGTCATCCGACTCAACGATATTTAGCTGGCTATCGTTATTCGGGCTGTGCACCAGCCGGAATGTTGGGCCGGAAGTGTGCAAGAATTTCAGGCAACCAACTTGAAAAATCTACGAACTCCGCTCGCAAGATAGGTTCTTGCACAGCCTTAGCTGGTGCAGGTGGCTGATCGGGTGGGTTACAAGGGCTTGGCCTGGAAGAGTGGCGGCAGCAGCCGCATTGCCTTGGCCTTGGGTGAGGAGCGGCACAATGCTCTCCGATAATAATAAAATGGCGGCCGACAAAGCCGACTACACCTCGTCACGTAGATCTACGGGAGCGCAGAGATCCGCTGAGCCCGCGTCACCTGAGCTGGCGGAGGAGGCATTAGTGCAAGTCGGGCTTTTGGGCTCGCGAGCCGTGTCCGCACTGTCATGTTGCTGGTTCTCCTGGCCGGAGCAGACCTCACTTCCAAGGGCTAGTTGTACCAGCAAACGGTCCTGTAAAATACTTTTACTAAGTTTCCTTTCGGATTCAAGCCGCGCTGAGAAGGCTCGCCGCGGGGGCTTGGCAAGGCATTGCCTTGACAGTGTCGACAGTTAGGTCAGACATACTGAAGAAATACAGTGTCGAGGTGACACTCGGGCTGGCAGCAAAGCTACGAAAGGAAAAGAAACACTGCTGAAGCACGATCCGTTGTCTGGAAGAGCACAACAGGGCAAAAAAGATTTGTTTTTTCTTTTCCGCAAAATGGGCTGGTGCCATTTGTGATTACGCAGCAAAACAAAGCGCATGACGTCAGTCTTGAATGCTGTACAAAGCAATGCAGTGCAGTGTGTGCGCTAGTTCGGATTGTTGCTAACAAGTACTAGCACAGCTAGTACACCATTATTTGAAACTCGGGTATTGAGCCAATAATAAAAGTAGAAAGGAAAAGGACATATGGAAACGAGTTAAGAGTTACTCTTAACCCTAGAACAGCCAACGGTGTCATTTGACAGCGCGCGAGTCAAACTTTTTGAATTACGGAAATCTGGCTAATCACAATAAGCTCAAATATTGTGACTATTCCTAGTTTTGCTTCCTCTTTCGTCTGCCATGAACCTTTGATTTGTAATTGATGAGGTACCATAATGGCGAGTACGTATACCTATAATGGCGAGTACGTATACCAACCAGTGTCATTTGACACCTGCATTATAAAAAGCAATTATTGCAGCTAGATGGAAACAATATGAACACATTTAGAAAGTGTCGGCCATATTGAGTTTCTGGTATGCCAACCAGACAAAAGAAAGGTGCATGGGCAGGGAAATCGCTGAATACAGGACGGAATATATGATCAACATACAACCGTCGGGCGAGAATCGCGAATTTGGGGCGGGAAAACATTAGTGCACAGATTACACAAACACTCTTCAGCTAATGTCCTTGATACTGCTCATTCCCTTTCATTTTCCTGTAAATTGCCCCAGAGGAGCCATCGCGGTCCGACGGCCAAGGAAATACTAAAACGGACCTAGCTTATTACCATGCATGAATCTGATGACCATGAAAGCGAAATTGCCCACTTTATCTTCATTTGATAGGTGTTCAAGTGTAGTGACCATTGCCAGTGGTGGACCTGTTCTGTCATATGAGGGAGAATCGTACGGTCACAACACCTGAGTACCTGTGGATTCAGAATGTATTGAGGTTTACGAGCCTCCAGAGAGCGGACGAGGATTGCGGGATAGTCCAGACAAGGAATTGTCAGAAACAGTTGCAGGAGTGGTGGAGACCCCGAAATGGATAGTGTTGAGGAAGAGGAATCGCAACTCCGGAACCTGGAGATGGTACACCGCATTATCGCAAGGATGGTGCTGTGTAGATAATCTTTTCTAACTACTTGACGATCTAATAAGGCTCTTGAAGCAAACCTCTTCCTCCTCCGCTTCAGGCTAAACGGGTAGGCAGCCGCTGGGATGCCTTCTCTCTCTATATAGGCCCCGATGGTGCAGAAGGTGATTGCTAAGTAATAACTGATAACTTCCTCATCAGTGACAGTGCATTACTGGTCAAGAAACTGTTGGAGAAGAAAGAGTTGCAGTATGAACCACTTTGGTAAATTGAAGTGAACTACCATCTAACTACATTGCCAATAATCGCGGTTTGCATTTCGTTTTTCAAGATTACATTGTAGGATGCAAAGACGATAGACGTAGAAGGTAGAAGTGGCAAGAATTATCAATGGTCCGCCTAGTGTAGATCACCTAGAGCCATATGTTTTACATGGTGAGAGTAGGAAGCCCCACATCGTCCCATTCTAGCAAAAGACGAGATATGTCCTTGACCGTTTCGATCGAATGTGGTGGATCTACTCAACAAAGACTATTCCAGAAGATGTCCCCTGCAAGGCGGTTACATAAATGAATAGATGTGACAGGCATCAACGCCTTCACAATATCCCAGACCTTTGCTAGTTCATGCACATCCAGAAAACGCTCATTCCTGCACTGGTCAATAAGCTTCTAGACAGTCATGGTTGCTAAGTGCCAGCCAAGGAGAAGAGAAGGGTATACCTCTTTGAAAGAGTCTAAAATGCAGTCGCTACTAGCCTAATCTTGCAACCATGTCTAGCAGCATTTGTGTCAGCTTGGTGAAAAATTGATGCTCATAGTCAGTCCATGTTTGTACTTGTTACTGTGTGTCATTCATCGTGACGGTCGAGTATTCCGATTATGCCAAAGCACATAATTATTCCCGAAAAGCAGTTCCTCATGTGCCCAGTGACGCTGACACATAGCTTGTTATTGTAACTCTGTGATTATAAGAAATTTCTATGCAAGTTATTGAAGTTTTGCCAGTAATTGCGTTCATCCTTCACAATTGCCGTTATGCGTACATTTTATTTTAGTTGCATGTAGCCAACAATAGTGTCTGGGTGAATCCTAATGTGGTGTGTACATCAAAAATGCCGCTAGTGATAGCCAGCACTGAAAACAAAAAACTAGAATAACCTACATCATAGACCTTAGACATGGAAATGTATGCAGGTGTCAAATGACACCGTTGGGCCGTTCTAGGAGTACTGGAAGTGGTGGCCGTCCTAGGATTAACTCGTTTCCATATGTCCTTTTCCTTTCTACTATTATTATTATTATTATTTTACAAGAAGTCGGAGGCGGATAATACTTTAGTAACGAAGGTACGTGTTGGGTCGTAAGTATCCACGCAAACACACATCCAGTCAAAAATAAGGCACTTGTCAAAGTATCCGAACGTTTTCGGTCCCTTCTCATCAAGGATTATACAGGGAATGGCTCAAGTTGGAAAGACTAAAACTTATATAGCGTAAAGATATGAGATAACAACACTCGTGACAAGGTGGAAAAAGTATCAAGTTCAGCACGACACAAAACTCGAAGGAAATAATAATAGCGACAAGAACATAGTGAGCAAATTAAGTTACATTGTTAACACCTCGACGAGGAGTAACACCAAACAATTGTAGCGACAACACATTTTCTTTCTGTACGCAAAGTTCAGGATCTAACTTACGGATATACAAAGCTTCTAACACAGCCAGATGCAACGCACATCTACCACGTGACAATATTGAGAACACATTATCACTGTACAACTCACGACAATTGGTACGGGCTGACAGATGTTGCTTAATGGACGAAGTGCGATTCTTAGCTCCGTTGGGTGTAGTCTCCTCCAATGTCCCGTCATCTCGCCTCTTCGCGGCATCACCACTATCCGCCTCTTTGCTTTTCCGCGGCCTTCCTCGTTTTCTGACACCAGCGGTTGTGTGCGCGATGCCCAGTGTCCTTTCAGCTACGTCTCCTCCATTGCGGGTTTCTATTGATCTTCTTACTCCAACCTGTCCGGTGTTCGATATTGAGGTTCGTTTTCGCGGTCTACCACGTTTTCGAATATTGACT